TGTATATATATATATACAGGTTTTTTATAAATTATTTTATTGTCCCTTTTTTTTAACTGTAGAATAGAATGTCACATTCTATGGCATTTGATATGTTTGTAGATTGTGTAATCTTTATATAAGATAAGATAAGATGATAAGATGTTTTTCAACCCAACACTGAGTATCTTTTATGAAATAGGACATATTTGTGGTTTGGAATACGGTATCTATATAAACCACATATCATTTTAAAGCTCTGATTATGAGAAATGTAAAGGCATAAACACAGAGACAAGTTAAATAACTGTAGGCATTATACTTCACGTACAGTTGCCTTGAGCTTAAGTTCAAATCACTGATTTGTCACAGCAGCTTTTAATCAGACATTCCTCTGATCAGATTATAGGTTTTAGAATTGTATAGTTTATGCTACTCTGTTATATTATTAGTGTTCTTTTTATGTATATGAATGCTATATGCATTTAAAAAAATTAGAAAGTTCTTAGTTCTGGCTTGTAGCAAAATGTTAGGCCTGGTGACAGTATAGCTATCAAATAAGTTTCATGTGAGTGAGTTGAATTTGACTTATTGAATGCAAATAAAGATTAAGAAAAATACAACAAATTTGTTTTTGTAATCTTAGAAGGTTCTAGAAATACTGTATGTGAAAGAAAAAGGAAGCATAAAATGTATTCACTGATATAAAAAAAAATTCACATTATGAAATTAAAATAAATAATAACAAATATAAACAAAAAATTCTGGGTCTAGTAAAATTCTTAGCTTCTAAGAATAAGCTGATGTGATCTTTGTCAAGTACAAAACATAAAATAAATGTTAAATATTCTAACATTGGAAAGATAGTCAAGGCATGTGGGAGCCTTTTTTTTTAATAGCCATGTTAGTACCATTACAAGTGGACCAATTTCCACAATAAAAAGACTTTCTCATGCCTTGACTCTATTTCCAATGTTAGGATATTTAACATTTATTTAATGTTTTATGTCTGACAAAGATCATACTAGTACTTGAAATGTTGTACCTAAACTTAAATTGATTTAATATAAAATATTTATTTCCAGTTATCCACTTGAAGCTGTTATTCTGTGTAATAATCCATGAAAAGTTAGTTACATAACTGATGTCATGTTTTGATAAATGTTAATGACTGGCTTATGGGGCTCTAAGTTTGTTGACTAATGGTAATGGTTGTCAGAATACTGACATGATCAGTATTTCAAAATATGCAGTTTAAAATGTTTATTGTTTCATTATTTTAATCAAGACTAAACACTTTACCTTAAAAAAGTATAGGACAGTTTAATATTTTTGAGTACATGTTTCAACTTGCACAACACAAATATGACTGTTTTATTTCAATTGGCCTGGTGCTGGTGCTTTGTGCAGTTTAAAAGTTTCTTTTGACTTCAAAACTAAAAGTGTACTTCCTTTCCTCATTAAACCCTGGGTAGTACTTTTATTATTAATTTCAATTACAGATGAATCTATTCTTCGAGAAAAAGGTTACGATAAAACCCCAGACACAAAACTGGAGGTTCCTGTTGGTAGGTAAAAGTAATTACAAATATAATCCCTCTAAGCATATGTCAGATTTATGAGAATAACACATATATTTAAGAAACTATTTAAAGTGTTATGTCCAATTTCTAAGAATAATACATGTGTTGAATGTACTATTTAAAAGTGTTATGGTAAATTTCTCTGAATAGTACATGCATGTGTTAAAAGTACTATTTACAGTGTTATGTCATTATTTACAAAATGAAATCAATTCTAACATCTTAACTTAAATGAATAATATATACATATATATTTATTTAAAATTATTATGGAAGGTTTATGTTTTATATTATGACTATACTTATTTTCTGGAATATTTTAGTAGAAGAATGTGTAGGATTGTTAGCCCATTACAAATTTTAGCTAGGAACTATAAATACTTTCTGACACATTGTTGTGCATAGTCTGTAAATTATGTGGTTTTGTCATTTCAGTATAATGACGACAACGCTGATCTTCATTATGGGCTATAATCAGCTCCAGTGATATGGTCTGTGGGAATAATCCTTTCATACAACTTTCAACATGCTATATTGTATAAAAATATGAGCAAAATTGTATAATCACAATAGCTCTGGTTGAACGTACAAAACATAACCCAAAAATTTTCACATAAATGTTAAATGTAGCATTGTAACTAAGCTATATTATAATGTCTGGTAAACACAATATGAAAAGAAAGCCCAAAGATAAACCAGCTAACTTTCCATTATTATGTACACTACATGCAGATCTGGAAAATGGAAGTTGTGTAAATTTATCAAGGAATTTTTAAAAACATGAATACTAAATGTGGAATTGCCATACCATAAAAATACACTTTTGAGTGTCAATAGCTGTAACAGACTGCAATGTCAGTCATGATTTGTGTTCACAGTTGCTTGAATTAAAATGATTCACTACCTGTGAGTATTATTTTTTGTGGCCACCTTGTACACTACAGGTTTTGTAAAGAACTTGTATGTCAAATATTCTGACCTCAAAATGGTCCAATTAAAAACCCTTGTTTTGCACTTGTCTACTTCCACCCACAGTAGACCACTTGAAACACTTGACAGTACAGCACAGCCAAGAAACTTGATTCTAAGCAGATAACACCAACTCCAGGGCAACTTGCCCATCGGAGTAACTATAAAAAATAGCACATGTACATTCAGCTCTAGATTGTGATCTTATCAGGTTGTTATAAAAATCTGCTTTTGTCATACCAATAGTTGGGAGATAGAGATATGACTGCAGACAGTTACATATCCTGACCATATAACTTAATAAAAGAGGCATGTTTATGTATGTGGAATCATTCCTTAATTGTTTAGCTTATCCACAAAACTGAAGGGAAATGCTCTGAGGATTTAAACTTTTAAACAAGTGGATGCTTCTTGAAACAACTTACATTAATTGAACACTGATAATTGTTCAGAATAATTAATCCAAAAATTTGCAATACTTCCTTTCCTATTTCAGTGAATATTGTCTTTATATATTGAAGTACGTTTGATGTTATTTCATTCTTCAGCAATTGATGGACATGTAGTTAATTGGATTGAAAGTAAAGCCTCTTTTGGAGATGAAGAAAGTCACAGAAATTATTTAAAGGACCAATACTGGAGTTACTGGAATAGGTGAGTCAAAAAGATGAAACTTTATTAGATGTGATTTTTTTTATAAAATTATGAGTTATAATCTACTTGTGATTCTTGTTAAGCACTTAGACACCTGGTTTTTATTAATATATCAGCTTGTAAATGTGTAGCAGATTTTCTTGCTATTAAGAGTACTATACCTTGTAAATGTATACAACTTTCCTTGCTGTGAGAGTACTATGCCTTGTAAATGTATACAACTTTCCTTGCTGTGAGAGTACTATGCCTTGTAAATGTATACAACTTTCCTTGCTGTGAGAGTACTATGCCTTGTA